TACATCTATCTATTAAATATAGGCATTAAATGAAATGAATCTAAAGATATTTCCTTTGGTGCCTCACATAAACTACTTTTACAACTTCACATCTATCTATTAAATATAGACATTAAATGAAATGAATCTAAAGATATTTCCTTTGGTGCCTCACATAAACTACTTTTACAACTTCTGTCTATATTTAATAGATAGATGTATGTGAGGCACCAAAGGAAATATCTTTAGATTCATTTCATTTAAAAACTACTTTTTCAGATTTGCATCTGCCTATTAAATGTTTAAATTCAATGAAATGGTACTAAAAAGGGTATATAGATAAATTTCCATTGGTGGTTTTAATGAATAGTTGAGTTACAAACAACCTTCATAAAATTTTTAAAATCAAGAAGCAAGGCTCCCACACACACATGAAAGTTACAGAGGGTAATAAGTCCTAAATTACAGATAAAATATTCAGTGTTTAAAACTATTTAAGAAAAAATTTGTAGAAGTTTTATGAAGTATTAGTTGACACATCATTAAGTAATTTTTTCCTTGAAGTTTAAATTATTATACAGGGAAACAAAGAAGCACTGTCAAAAATTATTATATTTTCTTACATTATGGAAAATGGTTCTGAAAATTGTATGGAAAGAATAGAACATTAAATGTAATATTTGAAATAACTGCAAATGCCTGCTTCATATTGGCGAAGCTACAGTAAAACATTAGATTTTAAAATAAGTTTTGTGGTGATGCACCATGCAATTATGTAATGAGATGTAATAAAATGTATATATATATATATATATATATATGCAGTGTCTAATTGGAAAGAATTTAGATAACTGTAACTTTAAAAATAAAATAATTAAATAATGCAGTACAGTTACTAACCATGGTGCTAATGTATATGAAGTGAATTAAACATTTTGAAGTATAATGTAAGTAAAAATATTTTGTACAATATTAACATAGAATGGTTTGTATTTTTATGAATGTTTCTGTGTTCTTCATTGTATAATGTTCCTAAAAATATTTTAACCTGTAAGAAGTATTGCACCTGAGCAGATAATTTACTATAAGTAAGAAGCTTCCCCTGGTATTTAGTTTACAAATTAATCTCATTTAATTTTTTGTGGTGATAAAAACTTTTATTTGTGGTTGAACTTAATTATTATTTCTATTCCTGTATTTGATTTTTTTGCATATCTTCTCATTACAAACAAATACAATTACACAGTTATGCATATTATATATTAGTTAATGACTAACTTGATGATATTGTAATCAGTTAATTAAAATGTAGATTTGGGTGATAATGCAGAACAGGAAAATAATATTAAAACACGTTGCTTAACAAGTTATTTTATTTCTAGATTTAACTAAGAAAATTTTAAAATTAAATTATTTTTATGTTCTTATGATAAATAAAAGTAAATTTTTACGTAAGATTGGAGTTTGTACTGTAGTTAATAGAAAGGGCAGTTGTTAATTTTACAGATCTTGTTGATGTCCCCATTATCAATATAGTTTTGTCACTATGATCCACATAGGATAACAGTATTTAATTATGGTAACACAAATAAACTCATATGTAAGTTATATTTAAGACCTAAGCAAGATAAATGGTCTGATGTTAATAAGGTAATTAACTTACACAACATCCGGAGCACAGACCCTAACTATGACTACTGCCGAATCACAGAAAGCAGAGACGTCTGTAGTGGCTCCGGCGACATGTGACAACTTACACTGTTCGTTACTGAAAAACTAAAATTATTATCATTTTACATTTATAGGCTACTTCATATTCGACCCTACTGATTTCAACGAAATCATACTTGGAACATGTATTTTAAAAGCCACCAAATTGTTTCGACAAATAGATCTGACTATATTATTGTGTTATTTTGTATTTTGCGTTAAAAGTATGTGAAATATCCAACACTTTATATGATGATGATGGAAATATGTGTGGATTCTGTGATGGCCATTAAATTAGATAAGTGATTTACTGCTTTGTTACAACTTCTGTCGATGTGAATATTGCTTATATAGACACAATAAAGTTAAATGTCCTTTTGAATTATGACACTAGTTTTCTGATGTTAGGAAATATTGGCAGATCTTGGAGCATATAGATTCAAGAAAATCTAGCAAGTTAGGTCAGCGTCAACTTAATGATAACGAAAGAAGATGTCTAAAATTATCTATTTCCCATCTACTTAATATGCTGAAAAGCCACCCTTCTGTAATGTAACACAAATTATCGTGCTAGCATTTTTGTCAATAAAGTGTTTCTTATTTTCGAAGTGAAACAATTGTGTCTGGTCTTTCTTTCGGCTGAGTCCAGTAGAAACCAACTCTTCATAAGAACATTCTGTTTTCTAGATTTAATTGCTGGTTTCGGTTTTAACTGAGAATACCACAAACGGAACAGCATGGTAGTAACATTAGAGCCTTGTGAATGTATTCAGTGTGTATCAGCAACAAAACATTTCTTTAAAAATGAAAAATTACAACTATGTGATGTAAAACCATCTTTGTTTTAAAGTACTGTTGCGTCATCGAGATCACGTGACAATTCTCAC